ATATATGATTTATACGAGCTTTATAATTATCTGACGAGGGAACCTATTCAACTGATAATCTCTGTTGAAGCTTAAAGATAGAATCTATAGTGTAGATAAAAATCCTAAAAGGATTCGTACTTGTAGGCCTTTCTTCTCGGGTTATGGACATTTGATTGAACTTCCAGCTTAACAATAGGTCCTTATGGTATTCTGAAAATTTCAGCTCAAATGCATTATTTCTTCTTAAGATATTGTATGCTGAAGAGCTGAGCTGTTTTTAATAATCTTGTGTGAAAGTAACGTCTTTTGGAAACATTTGTTTGAACTGTAACTTTCAAAATATCATAAGAACTATTGTTAACCTGAAAGTTTTGTAAAAACGATCATAACCCTAAAAGGAAGACCTAATAGTACGAACCCTCTCAGGTTTTTTATCTACATTATAAGTCCTATTGATGAACTCAAAACGGTGATTTTTTTTTGTCTCGGATGGATTTCGTCATGAAAGTACATTTTTCTAGCTACAATTTCAATTCAAATATAATCTAGATTAAGCTTGTAACAATGGAGTTAAGTGTTAATTAAGTGTCTTACAGTGATAATTAGTCGTCTGATAACATGAGTTTTCGTTAGTATAATTGTATTTAAATGATGTAACAAAAAAATCCAGCATTTTCAATATTATCGATGATTCTTTGAAGTACAGCCTACACTTGATATAACTCAAATAGCTCTTCCATAAAGAATGTGCCGTTAAATAATTCAAGATATATGTGTGTTCATTTCAAATTCTGTTGCGAAAAATAACCTTCGCATTGTATTTTTTTTTTCGACAAAGCATATTTTATTTGAATGTCATATATGTTCTTCGACTTCATAATAATGACCAGTTACATTTTCGAACTATCAAAATGATGATGAGATAAAACTCATTCATGAACTAATAGTATGTTTCGTCATCATGATGTCATTGAGAAACTCAAGATATCATTTATTACATAGAAGAATTTTCATTCAATCATCATTATAAGTAATTTGTTGTAGACTCTAAATTTTCTACTAAGAAAATTAAAGTATATACTTCATATTTTATCATACAAAGAACTACTCAACAGAAGATTAAAAAACTAAAGATGAAAATCAAATTCTTAATAAGATATCTAAATAAATTTACCATAATCACTATATTCAATAACACATCGATTATTTTTTAATAAATATAAATTAAGTATATTTCCATATGTTTGAAAATAATTTCGAATATTTTCTTCATTGAAATCAGGTTCATTTATTTCTTGATTTTGTGAATTTTTAAATTGAATTAAAACATTTTCACTTGTTAAAAAATGTTCAATTTTATTTGAACATTGATCAGGTAATGCTCTTTTCAAATATAATCTAATTAAATCAAATAAAAGACAAAAAACATAAAATTTATTGACAATTCTCAACACAAAAATAAAATCAAATAAAAATAAAAATAAACCAACCGTCGATTATCAAGAAAATGTGGTCGAGTTGACATTAATCGATTTATTGAATCTGGTGTATGCATTAATACAAAAGCAAAACAAGTCCAACGTCGATGATTTGCTTCGAATAATTGACATTCATCAACTTGACCAAAATGATCAAGATATTGACATAGTTCTCTTCTACGTATGTCAGCAGATAAATTTCCAATATATAAACTATAATATTTTCGATCAATTAATTCATTTGAACTCATTTTAATATCATATCACAGAGAATCTTTAATAGATTAATCTAAACAAAAAAAACAAATATTTGAAATTTTCTTCTCAATACTAATTAATTAATTTAATAACTGAGAGCAAAATTTTATTTTTATCAACAATAATTCAACGGCAAAAAAAAGTAATTTTACAAACTATATTCAAGTATAGTTGAAGATAAATATATTGAGAGAATTTTTCAATTTGTTATTCACAAAATAAAAAGAGAAACAGATAACATTTATTAAATTAACTACACGTTTGTTTATCATCGTTCGAAACAGACAATAATGACAAAATAACATCAAAAATATATGCATCAAACTGATAACAAATAATTCTCATACATTTAAGACAGAGTGTTAAATTCATTAACACAACAGTATAAGCATTTTATTTATCAATTAACTTATTTGCACATCAATATCAATCTTCAAAGTCTATAAATGAAAAAATGATTGTTACATTTTGTTTTGCATACTTGTCTTTTACTGATTTCAATTTTTGCATATATAATAGAAAAATTGTTAGCATAGATTGTATTTCAATAATTCAATTAATATGTTGTATCATAGCAAAAAAAAACTGCGATAACCGTTCAATTAGATAAGACATATACCATTCAAGTTGTTACACTTCATCAAATCTGTAGATTCAGATGGCCGAATGATAATGATATGTTGAGCCAGACCCATTAAGAGACATATCTAGTAGGAAAAAAAATATTCATTATAATAATAAAGGCCTAAAGCTTTTTATTAATTTTTATCTTACAGAAAAAGTTAAGATAAATAAATGAGAATATCTGAGAAGTTCCTACTCACAACTTACACAAAGTTAACTGATCTTAAACTCATTTCTAAGTGATTCTAGGCGAAAATATTATTATAATTTCATCGATAGCCTCATACAAAGACATATAAACTGCCATAAAATCGAAGCACTTTTTCTACACTCATTACATTTGAAAAACTTGATCTATATGACAAAAATTCTAGTTGATATTCTTGACTCTCTCAGAATTCATATTTTACTTATGAAATTGGATCTCCTCAATCGACGCAAAACTCTTGCTCATTGCCAGTTAGTAGAAGATAGATTACTCGTAAAAAGAAAAATTGTGTGCATTTTCTTTTTTCATATTTATATATCGATCCATCAAGATTTCATATCACGTTCTTTACAAAAACGTGTTGTTTTTATTAATCCATAGGTATACATAGAATCCAAACCAGAGGGTGGGTCCGATTGGAAAATGGTAAACCAGTCCAATCCGGCCGGTTGAAATCCAGTAAAAAACTGGCGGAATAATGGCGAATTTTTTTGAAAAAGGATTTTTAGGAAAAATGGTTCTTAATATGAAATACTTTAAGAGCGCATGTAAAAGGCACTCACCATAATGAATCTTTTTAAAGAGAATCTCAGAACAAATTATTAAAATAACATATGTTTTGAGCACTTTTTCATATATTCTATCATAAAAACATGTGATATCTTCGTTTTTATGACCGAAAACAGGATTAACAAAGAAGATTTTTTAAAGGATTCAACGGGTGAAATTTGAGTCTCTATTGGACTGGTTTCAGTGCTGATCCAAACGTTCGGATTATGTCTTAAATGCGATCATTTTTAGTTACTTAATAAAAGAAAACCGAAGTAAATCAAAACAAAGGACTTCAGACTTGGCTATAATAGATCTAAACACAAAGAAATAAATGATGCAGAAAAAATCTGAAGATCTGCAGACATCCTAAAAAAGTCAACAATGGTCAGGAATACTCGAATTCGGACTTAGCCGAATCTTATAGAGTGCTTTCATGATTGTCCATATATCTTAAGAAAAACTTTGAACAATTACATAAACAGCTTACACTGTCTGAATTGGACGAATAGTTTCTAAACTAAAATACCGAGTCAGAGTTCAGGTTCGGTGCACGTCTATAATTCTAACAGGTCCCTTTTTTTTCAGAGAAAGTCAATTATTCATGTTTTTTTTTTCCTCACTTTCAATTTCATCACTTACTTAAAAATAAGAATTGTTCTTCTTTCAATCGTACAAATATTTGATTAAATAATTTCGGAATTTATAATAATTCTGTCGTACGAATTCGATATTTACCTTTTCAAAATAATTAACAAATTATTTGTCATAGATTAAGATAAATTTCTACTGAATAATTTCCATGATACACATATCATTTAATATTGAAATAATACCAACATTTATAGTTTTTTTATAATAAAAAAAACAAACAAAAACTAAGGCAAGAAACAATCTGAATAAATAGGATCAAAATAATTTCTATATAAATGGGCAAAAAAAAAATAATAATCATAAGAATACAATATCACATCAATACATATTTTATGTTGCTTAAAATTAGAAGAAAAATACGAAAGATTAGTATAATCCTCCACTAACATATGTTGTTGGTCTTGGTTTTATTATTAATCGACCATCAGGATCACATGACATATTATAATCAGCAAGTATATAACGAAATCTTGCTATTATTATTGATGATGCAAACATTTTACGATGTATACCAAATAAAAATGCAAAAATTAATAAACCAAGTGCAAAAGAAAAATAAAGTTCTTTTCGAAATAAATTTGATAAAATTATTGATAGATAAGATTTATCATTCTTTATATTCTTTTTTATGGACGATGTTGTTATTGCTAATGTTGATGATGAAAATGATAACGATACATCAGTTATTACGACATAAAATGTAATAAGAGTAACTGAGACTAGAATTAATAATATCAAACGCCAACGCCATATTGATGGTTGAAGTGAAGAAATTATTTCAGTCATTCGACGTTCAAATGCTTTTAAATCATCTGCTTGATCCATATTTTAAATAACATTAATAAAATATAATACAAAGACTAAAGTGTTATATGAAGCAATAGTTAGATTTTTTTTTTAATCAAACAAACAAATCTATATAAACATGTCTTAATGAGAATGTATCATTAGATAACTTAAAGAAATTAAACAAATCTAATTAATTGATACATCTACAAAGGTCAATATTTGATATGAAAAAAAAAAAAAGGTCAGTCATCATCATTATTAGTTAAACAAATAAAATAGATATTTTCTTCCTGATCTTTTATTTTTGTTTAGAATTCAAAAATCCATGAGAAAAAAGAAGAAGTCAATATCATAACTTGAAAGCAAAGAAAAATGAAGAATAATACAGGATGAGCAAAAACAGAGAAGAGTGTTCAATATATCAAATATTATCATGTCAATAAAAAAAAGAAACGGGTTCACTTCTTTGGCCCAGTACTAAATGGTTGACCAACATCTTTTCCACGTAATTTAACTCCTAAAGCTCTTTCCAGTTTGCTTAAAACTTGTTGATTTGGTATAGCTTTCGATTGTTCATATTCATTAATAACCTGTTGTTTTTCATTAACATGTTTTGCTAAATCAGCTTGTGTCCATTCCTTTGCAATTCGTGCTTGTTGAATAGCACGTGAAACATCAGGATTAACTCTATTATGATGTAATTCCTCTGTTTCACGATCTAATACAGCTGTATTTTTTGCTGCTTCATGTTGTTTATTATGTCCAGCAGCATATTTCTTTGATGTATCTATAGCCACACCAGCACGTTCAGCAGCTGCAATAGCTGACTCAGATTTTAATTCTCCGGGTCGTGGTGCACGTTTACCTTTAAATAAAATCAATAATATTTACAATTGATTAATATAAGAAAAATATTTACCTATAACAGTTTGTTCATCCCAACCAACAGTGCCTCCAAAATTTGCTCCTGTCTTACTCATTGTTTTATGTTTTCGTTTTAGTCAAGTAAATGAAAGTATCTATAATTAATAGTCTATTTATATGTATAGATTTAGTTATTTACTCAATGAAACAGAAAAAAAAAAATACGCGTAATTACGACAGTATTACATCAGACAAACATTTTCTTTTCATATACGAAATATCGAAAGGCACACAACAAATCGATAGAATATTGGTTGAGTAATAATAATATAAAGATATATTTTTGAAAAAAGCAAAAATATAAATTAATGCGAAAAAAAAGTTCTTAATAAAAAATTTATTATTTTAAAAAAAAATCAAGTAGAGGTCAGGAATGTCTGACTCATGGTATTTAAGTTTTCATTTGAATGGTTGGTTACTGTCGGATACGACGACTTTTGTCTTGTCACATTACTTTTTCACTTCCTTTATTTAAATAATTTTCCAGTCATTCGATTTGCAGAATAATCTTCTAATTTAGACATGTCGTCAAATGATGTTCCAACATCAATTTCTCCAACGACACTTGCTCTTGATTTAACTCAACATTCCTCTGATAAAGTCTCTAGTTTCTCAAAAAATGAAATACTAAATGTATATATATATATCTGTTATTTAGGAACAAGATTCAAATTTCCATCCATTATTAGAAGATGATATAATCGATGTTTTTTCAAAAGTATCAACAAATTTTTTAGCTGGATTTTCCTATCGGTATGTAATTATAATTATATGGTAATTGAAAAAGAAAGTATTTCTATTTTCATCTTAGATCAGATACTGAAGATCAACGTTGTTCAATTTTGATTTTTCATCTTTTTACCGATTATATTGAAACTGAAACAGCATGCCAATGGCAAATTTGTAATAAAAAACCGTTGACTTGTGAAATATTAGTTGATAATGATCGTTATCTCAGTGAAAAAGGTTTGTATACGAGAAAATTAAATATTTTCTTTTAGTAACTATTAAATCATTACATATTTAACAATATCAAGGATGTAATATAGAAATATTTTATGACATTTATAGCCTTTTATATAAAATTTGTATCAATAATGATAGTTTTTTTCATTATGACAATCGAAAGTTGAGAATCGAAGACGATTGATATAATCGATCAGCATAGTCTTCAACGGAAAACTAAACGTAAATTTCTCCACAAACTTAATTGTACATATTCAGCTAGTAACTATTCACAAATGAAGTAAAAATAACTAAGATGATTTTGATAATAAAAAATTTATAATAAGTTTTACGCAGACATATAACACTGTTATGTCTAATATTTGTTGGTATATATATGGTTTATTTATGATGATAATCAGAACGATTAGATTAGGTTTTTAGTCTCTTTATGTCTCTCTATTTCCCATCGCTTTTCACATAGAAACAACAGGTTTATATATAAGATGTTAGAGAAAAGATGGAATATACAAATAGATAACGTAATACAGTTGGAAATGTATATGAGTTATTACATCAAGGTAAAGACGGTAGTAAGAGAGCAGACCAGGGAAAAAACCCTGACAGAACGAAAGAAAAAATATAACTATAGTTAACCACTTGTATATGTACAGAAAGAAGGCGAACGAACATAATATATATGGATTATACATATAGGACATTTGTCTTACAGCATGTCTAATGTATGTACCATAACAAATACGATTGTCAATTTAAGAGAAAACGGCCACAACTATTATCCGTCATTTAAGCTCATATTGAGTTCACAAAGAGGTCTCCATAGGACATTGCAGCTAACTTATGGTCGTTGTGTTGAATTTTTAAGCATTTACTGAAAAATCAAATAAGGAAATTTCGATCTGGAATTTTTCTCATAGATAAGTCTAATAATCTTTAGAATATCCGAACAATTTCAACCAAAGACAATGTTTCTTTGTTAAGATATTGAATTTAAAAAAAAAAGAAACTTTTGTCATAGAAATAACTCAAAAATCGACTTTACTTGAAAATTCAATATCTCAATAAAGAAACATTCTTTTCGGATATACTAAGAATTATTAAATCTATCTGTGAGTCAAATTTCAGGCCGAAAATTCAGTACAACGTTTATAATTCGACTCCAAAGATTCATGGGAACGAAACTTTATAGGATTTTTCTATTTTTACCGAAATCTCATTTTGAATCCAATATAAGCTCAAATTGTGAATTACAATTAGGATAGTTCCCTCGTTAGCTCAAATAACCTATATCTACTGAAGTTTGAATCGTTACTAAATATTATTCTTTATTTAATTCAAAATTTACAATTGATATTCTTGTTATTAAGTGTATTCAAAAGACTTTTGAGCAATCATCAAATCTTGTTCATTAATATTGCAAGTTTCATTTTTGCTTATTCTTTTCTCACAAGCCATAGATTTAATAAATGTATGTTCTTGTGTGTTAATATTAGTTCAGAGATTTTGATTGCTCAGAGATGCAGAATCTATCCGTGTGCGCAAGCGCACGCTGGGGGAAATTTTTGGAAAACCATTGTGTATGGAGAAAGTTTTTTGAAAAATAATTGCGTCTGATGAAGTTTTGGAAACTATACGGTTTGGGAAAATTTTCCCTTTTTACGGCAGATTCTGCACCTCTGTGATTGCTACTAGCGAGATAAAAATTTACAATCAGGTCCGGTCGAAGCAAAACAATGACGCATTGAAAAGAATATTAATGTGTTGTGAAAAGATCAAGTTTGTCAAATGTCAGCTTGTGTTGACTTTGGGAACTTTCTTTGATTAGTTTATGGAACTCACATATTTAATAGAACGCATAATAATATTTTTCCAAGTATAACATGTGAATTTCCAATAGTATAAACAATAAGTTGAATTTTAAATTGAAGTTCATGAAAATGGGATTTATCGGTATAAAAGAAATACGGTTACTGAAATTCTTTTTGTTATTAAATTGTGAAGCCTTCTAAATATCAACGAATCATAGTCATGACAGTGTAGGGTTTCAGAAAAGAAATATCAAACTAGCTATGATCTGAAAATAATGAATAGAGTAAGCGTATGCTTTCTTCTTATGACTTAATGAATTAGAAAATATAAACATTATTCTTCTAGGTTCATTGATTTCAAATCACGGCTAGTTTGATTTCTCTTNCCTCAGAGACAAGCCATAAGCACGAACTTATTCTACCATAGACACAGCTCACTAAGGTCTACAAAATGCGCTAAGTCCCGACTTGAAAGCGCTCGGGCACCTGGGAATGTTCCCTCGTTAGCGGCAGGTGCAATAATCCGATACCTTCCCTAAAACTATGACATTAACTAACCACATACAAGCGACAAGAGTAGATGTGTATCACAACATAGTCAGCATGTCACCGGATGAATGGTTTGAGACAAACAGTCATTAGTGATTTACTCAAGATCATTTCATGGATGATAGTATGAAGGTTTGAATACAGTAACTTATGGATACGTGTTAGACTACGCAGCCATGACGGCCTTGTTCTATTTGATAAATGATTATTCGTTGTTTCTTCTTTTTCTTTCATATGAAAATAATCGGATATTCACATTTTCTTGTTCCTATTCGAACAAAACCCCAATATATGACAAGCTGATTACTTAAAGTATTTCATCATAGTTAGCAAAACTCCCAACACAATAGCCTCTTTGTTTTGTGTAATTTGTTTTTCATTGATATATCAAGGATGAGTAGTAAATGATTCTTTAGTTTTGTTTTTACAATTTTTTGTTTTCTGAATGATCTTTAACAAGTTAAGTTCAGAAATTTGAAATTCAGCTCTTTTTTGTTCTTCAATATCAGTGTTACAATGTTTATCACAGCTATAGAAGACGAAATAATAACCAAAAAAAAATCGAAATGAACTAATGCAAACAAAATTATATGGTCTATAAATTAGTCATAATAAATAATGTTTAAATACGTTTAATCATTGACATTATTAATTGAAATATCAACTTGTTCTTCAACACTATCAAAAAGGCTTGGTCGATATGGTTTCCATCCCAATTTTCTTACTCTTTCAGCTGTTGAATTTGCTTGACTACCCATTAAATACCAACTACATTCGCCATAAAGAATACTTTCTACTTCATCATCTGGAAAACTTGTAACATCAGGTGACTTGGCAATACCTTTCTTGTATAAAACTTCACCAATTTTTTCTGCGAGTTGTCGCCAAGTATATTTTCCATTCTCCACAAAATAATAACCTTGTCGTCCTGTCGTTAGATATGGACTTGGTTGTACATTGGGTTTGGCATCAGGACCATATGCAGCAAGAAGTTGATCAAAAATAATTATATAAGCATCAGATAAATCAGCAATATGAACGCTATTCCATATTGCTTGACCTGGCCCAATCATTTCAGCTTTCTGTCGTTTTAAGGCTGCTCGAATGAGAACTGGAAGTTGTACAGAAGAACGATTGAATAGACCAGTACCGATACCATAAACAAGAGGAGGAAGAATGATAGCAGTTTTTAAAAGAGGATTTGCATCTGCAGAGTTAATAATGAACAGATCAATATCACGATAAGGTTGTTCATCAGAAACACTATTAATTTGATCAGGATTAAGATCAGAGTAGACTATATCTGAACCTGTCTTACCACGAACATCTTCTTTGAGAACACTTGTACCACTTGTATGAATATAAATTGCTGGCATTCTTGTTTCTTTGGTTCGTTTGTTTAAACCAGAAATAATAGCTTTAGTTGATAGGAGACCATCAGATAAATTTGAAGTATGAATGACGACATGAGATTCACGTGCAGCTTTTTCAATAATTTCAAATGAATCATTCGAACCGACTAGAGGCGTAATATTAAGCGATGATAATTTCTTGACTCTTTCATTGTCGCCACGAATAAGAACAGTTATATTAAAGTCCAAAGCATTTGAACGTTGAAGAAGTGCAGTTAAAATACTTCCTCCAATGTAACCAGTTGCACCGGTTAAAAAAACGTTGACTTTATTTAAAGACATTGATTTAATACTTCAACAAAAAACGATAAGGAAGGTGAAGAGTAAGGAGACACATATATAGGGTGTCCAGTAAGTAACTCCACAAAGAAAAAGTTGAATATCTTCATTACAACTCGACCAAACGGGCTCATTTTTTTTACCAAGGATAGAGGCATGTTCACATTTCAAATCCATACGGACAAGGTTAGTGGGAACCTTTGCAAAGTATCACTATTGACCTCAACAAGAAAATTTTACTTGTTCAAAGATAGAAAAAGAAAACAATATACTTACCATAGGTTCTCACTAATCTCGTCCGTATGGATTTGGAGTGTTAACATATCTCTATCTTCGGTAAAAAAATCAGCTCGTTTGGTCGAGCCAAAATGGAGATATTCAATTTTCTTTTTCGATAAGGTGACTTTTGCACCATCCTTTATATTGTTTTTTCCCTATCTGTGAAAAAGTAAAATTTTCTTGTTGAGGTCAATAGTGATACTTTGCAAAGGTTCCCACTAACCTTGTCCGTATGGATTTGAAATGTGAACATGCCTCTATCCTTGGTAAAAAAATGAGCCCGCTTGGTCGAGTTGTAATGAAGATATTCAACTTTTTCTTTGTGGAGTTACTTACTGGACACCCTATATATCTATATTTATGCCTCGATAAAAACGGAAATTCAGAAATAGAAAATATGTAGAAGTAATTTCAAGTATAGCGAAGTACTTTGAGTAGCGTCAAAGCACTTTGAATCGTGTCAGAGTACTTTAAATAATGTGAAGGTACTAAAGCTGGCTATGGGCGTGAGTGTGAAAGTGAGAGTTAGAGTCTTGCAGAGGCAAATTGTTTAACTCCGAAGCCGACTCCAAGGAACTCCGAATATTGTTTTGACTGGCTTATATACTTTTTTTACATGCTTCTTGTTAATACGATTGTTCCTCTCGTTTTTTTTTCTTCAGCCTAGTTAATAAGTCTATAAATCACTTGATACATGAAGAATAAACT